GAGTCCCACTCTTGTCGGTAAATAACGTGCCCTTAACATGACCCATAACCAGGTGGTCACCTGATCTAAAGCAAGCCCTGCCTCTCGGCCTGTCTTCGCAACAAGGCTCGACTGAACCCCTCTACCGTGGATTAATTTACTAGTCTGTAGCGTCTGGCTAGTCATTCTTAGCACCCTCATGACCAAAGTCTTACAATCAACAGTCCCAGGTTGTGCTGTAATAAATCTACCTTCAACTGGAATACCCAATATCTATCGCACGTCGTGTAACATGATGGTCATCTCCCCAAAAGGCATGTGAAATGTATTGGTGTCCGGCTGCCACATCTCTACAAATGCTGTAACCAATGCCTTATCAATGTCAGTGTGCATGATGTCTACGATGTGGGATAGCCCTGTATCAGCCAACAAGATTTGAGCCTCAGTCGACATAGAACCCTTCCATTCTTTCAACAATTTGAAGTATGTGACTCTTGTATCTATCCCCAAGGAGGGTTTGTATGACTTATCCGTCAAGCGATGGGCCACATGACCAAGAAAACTAGGAATAACAGAACCGTCATGAGGGCCACCAACAACTGGTCTCGTGACAACCCAAGGCTGCGCATTACTCGCTGAAATTAACGTAAACAAATCATTAAATTTTTTCGCGATAAAATATTTGAAAAAACTTAACGACTAAATGTAAAATATAAACCCCATACACTAATTTCTTACCTGCTAATGATGATGCAGATGCAGATGCAGATGCAGTTGCAGATGCAGATGCTGATGCAGGTGCAGCTCGAAGTCCTCTAACCCTAAGATGAATAACATTGCTTCGTCTAACTGGAGGTGAATGTGGAGGTGAATGTGGAGGTGAATATGGAGGTGAATGTGGAGGTGAGTCACCTACGAAATCATTAAACTCTTCCGAGTCGATATATTCAGTTGGGACATCATCATTGTCACTTACATTCTGTAAGTCCAAACTGGCATGATCAAATACATCGTCAAGTCCCACACTACTATCGGCCTGACCCATCTGCGACTCACCCTTTGACTTATGCCCAGTTGGACTCCCACGACGATATGAGGCAGAAATAACTCGACCATGCATGTCCCGTGTACCCGACTCAAGCAATAATGAAGAATCAGGTACATCTGGCCTTTTCTTTTTTCTTCTTTGAACCTACAGTAATAAATATATATAACTACTCCACTACAATAATCAAAATAGATATTAAAATAAATTCAGTTAAATAAATTATACCTAATTAATTTATCCTTTAACCTAAATTAAATATTATATATAAATATTCCATTACAATAATTATTCAAATAGAAATTAAAATAAGTTCAATTAAATTAATTATACCTAATGGAATATAAATTAAAATAAATTCAATTAAATTAATTATACATATTAAATTATACCTAAACCTAAAGATTCAAATATAAATTAAAATAAATTTAATTGAATTAATTACACATATTAGTTGTTAAATTTATACTCCATAGATTCAAATATAATTAAATTAATTACAAATATAATTAAATAAATTACAAAAAAAAATAAAATTTTCCCTTTCATTATAAATTAATACAAATCTAATTAAATTAATTACAACTAATAACACAACATTGAATAACTAATTACATTAATTATAAATAATTTAACTAAAATAATTATAAAAAAATTGCAACAAAAAAAAATTAAAAAAAAAGTTGCTGCCCAGTCTGGCCGACCCGAAAACCTTGGCCGAATTTCTCACCGGCCAAGGGGTATGGATTGGCTCAGTCGAAGACGGGCCAATCCATACCCCTTGGCTGGTGAGAAATCCGGCCAAGATTCCCGGGCTGGCCCTTGATTGGCCCGTCCCTGACCAGGCCAATCCATACCCCTTGGCCGGTGAGAAATCCGGCCAAGGTTCTCGGGCTGGCCATCCTTCGGGTCGGCCAGCCTGGGCAGTTTTTTTAAAATTTTTTTAAAATAGAATTTGGAAAAAAAAAAATTACCGGCATCGATGGTGAGCTTTCACGTTGTTGACTACCGCGTTCCGTCATTTTTTTAGTATCCGATTATTAGTAGATCTAGATTTGAAGAAGAAGAAAAAAAGAGAAGGAGAAGAAGAAAGAATAAAAGAGAAAGAAGAAGAAGAGATGGGGAAGAAAAAGAAGGAAGAAGAAAGAAAATAATTTAGGGGTAAAATTATAAAAAACAAACTGCAGGTGAGTAATTTTTGAACAGCGAGAAGCAATTTAATAAAAGAAAACCCCGAAGTTGGCCAAAGCAATTCAATAAAAGAAAACCCCGAAGTTGGCCAATGTCTTTTCACCTATCAGCTGGTTTTCCTTTTTCCCTGTTCATTATAAATTTGGACTCCCTTGATTAGACCTATAAAAACCCCACTCAGTCGAAGCCTTAATTCTTCAGGACAAGTTCTCCAAGGGCAATTAACTTCTTCGATTAATCTTCAGGTGCGGTTCTTTGTATTGCATATCTACTTATAGATCTAAAGAATAATATCTATTGCTTATCATTCTCGTTCTTGTATATTCCGGTAGTTAAATTCTAGGGTTTTGTTTTTTTGGTTCCGAAGTGTGGGTGGAATGTTTTGTTTTTCCTCAAGTTGAGTTCTTTATATGACGGAAGTAATTGGGTTTGGGGGAGATTAAAATTTGAGGTGAATTGTGCGTTGATGTAAATAATTTCTGAAATTCGATTAGTTGAATTTTCTGAAAGGAGTTATCTTGTCATAGCATAAGCAACTGCCCAATTCTGCTGTGATTTGCCTGTACTTTATATTTGTAGTTAGAATGAAATTTTTTTTTATCAGTTTAAAAGCTGCCACTGTACGAATAGGGTAGGAAGTTAGATTATTTTGTTGGAGCCGGTTGCTCTCTTTTTTGCCATCTTTGTTGTGTTGGTCTTTCAATTCGAAACAGCTTTGCTCTGAATTCCTACATACTACAATACCTTTCAAGTGCAGGACACCCTCTGTTCTGTTTATCTTTGTATTCATTCTGCTTGTTGTGTTCAATTTGGATGCAGGTTTCAGAAATCTGAGCCGTTGCGATGGCTACATCTCATCTACCAGCTAATACGGATTCCCTCGCACAGGCTTCTGAAGCCAAAACCCCGGCTGAGTCAATTTCTATCCTTTATCGGTTACTTGATGATCCTTCTTCTTCTTCAGAGGCCATAAGAATTAAGGAGCAAGCCATCACAAATCTATCGGATCTTCTTAGACAGGAAAATAGGGCACAGGAACTTACCAACCTCTTGACCCAACTTCGTCCCTTCTTTTCGTTAATCCCCAAGGCAAAAACAGCGAAAATTGTTCGTGGGATTGTTGATTCATTGGCAAAGATACCTGGTACATCTGATCTTCAGATTGCACTTTGCAGAGAAATAGTAACATGGACCCGTGCTGAGAAGCGAACTTTCCTCCGTCAGCGGATTGAGGCAAAGCTTGCAGCTCTCTTGCTGGAGAATAAGGAGTACACTGAAGCTTTGGCCCTCCTGTCTGAACTTATCAAAGAGGTGAGAAGACTGGATGACAAGTTGCTCCTTGTTGAGATTGACTTGCTGGAGAGCAAGCTCCATTTTTCCTTGAGAAATCTTCCCAAGGCCAAAGCTGCACTTACTGCTGCCAGAACTGCAGCAAATGCAATTTATGTTCCTCCAGCACAGCAGGGCACCATAGATTTGCAAAGTGGGATTCTCCATGCTGAGGAAAAGGACTATAAAACAGCCTACAGTTATTTCTATGAGGCATTTGAAGCTTTTAATGCCCTTGAAGATCCTCAGGCCATATTTAGCCTCAAGTATATGTTGCTGTGCAAAATTATGGTTAGCCAGGCTGATGATGTGGCTGGAATAATATCATCACCCAAGGTGGGCTTGCAATACCAGGGTCCAGAACTTGATGCAATGAAAGCAGTTGCTGATGCTCATTCCAAACGCTCCCTTAAGCTTTTTGAGACAGCTCTTCGAAATTACAGGGAACAGTTGGAAGGTGATCCGATTGTCCACAGGCACCTTTCATCACTCTATGACACTTTGTTGGAGCAGAACCTTTGCAGGTTGATCGAACCATTTTCCAGGGTAGAAATAGCTCATATTGCCGAACTGATTGAGTTGCCAGCTGACCATGTTGAGAAGAAGCTATCACAGATGATTCTGGATAAGAAGTTTGCTGGAACTCTGGATCAGGGAGCTGGTTGCCTTGTGATATTTGATGATCCCAAAACAGATGCCATTTACACAGCCACATTGGAAACCATTGAGAACATGGGAAAGGTCGTGGACAGTTTGTTTGCAAGATCTGCCAAGATAATGGCTTGATGTACTTTCTCTCGGCTTTTGGTTCTTATTTACGCTTGATGCATGTTAACACTGTCGGTTTCACCTCCCTGTTGATTTGGGAGTTATGCATCCTGGAACAGTTTATTTTAGTTGTTGGATATGTAGCTCTTTATTAAGGTGTCAGAACAGTTCTCTTCTGGTTTATGATTTAATCGACTCATGTTATACATTTTTTATAATTTGTATTCCTATGATTTGAGTTCTTAACTGTTGCACTGCTGTCTTTTCCCATAATTGATGTTTGGTTGTTTTTTTTGTAAATCCATTTTGGGTAGTATCGTTTGCTTATGCTTGTTTCATATCTTTTTGGATTTTTTAATGTTTAAAATACTTGTACATGGGGATGGTGGACTGGAGTCTGGAGGGACCTTCACTCCATTGTTTTTCGAGGTGGAGAACTGGAGATAACAAGTTTAAGCTCAGGAAATTGGAGGGGTATAACTTTGTAGGTTGATGGTAAAATTGCAGAGGAACTTGTTTTGTGAGTTTGGATCTTGGAAGAAGCAACATTGTAGAATGTTTTTCCAAGAAAAGAAAAAGTAAAATGTTAATAGAATCCATTTGTACCAGAATGATTGTCCTTCATCCTTTGGTCAGGTTCTAAAGTTTCTTTGTAGATAGTGTGTGAATGTGGTGGAAACTAGTAAGAATGTGGAGATTGCGGCTGCAATCTAGTATTAAAGTAATTGAGGAGGAACTGGAAGACTGTGAGCTTTATTATCAGATAGCTAGTATGATTAATTCAGAAGTAGGAGCTTTATTGTCAGTTATAAGGAGGAACATGCAGTGGGTTGCTCAGCACACTATGCATCAACTTGTTAGATGTATCTTTTCACACCTTCCTGATGTTGACCAAGCTGATCGTGCTTTGGTTAAAGGAAGCAATTCCAGCAAGCCTGAGGTGTGTTTTTTCCTTCTTCGTTTTAGTTTGTGAACCCATTTTCCATGCATTCTTATTTGTTAAGTTTTGAGATAAAGGAAATCCGACCTAAATCAGAAGAATAAAAGAAATGGAAAGAGATAATGTATCAAAGTTGTTTATTGTCTTCCTGCTGAACCTTCACCTTCGGTTTAGGCTTTCTACTTTATTTACTCTTATGTTCAAGGTGACGCAATGAGTTCTGTGATTCTAGAAGAAGGGTAACATCAATAGGGAAGTAGTTGGTCATGAACGGTTGTCGTAGCGCCTTTTATATACCCTGCCCTTCTATAATTCTGTCCTTCGGTTAAAGTTGTAGTACTCTCATCTATATGATATTAATTTGTTACTGGGTAGCATCTTTTGTGTGTTTAAGGCTCTTTTGTTCTTATCATACTCAAATTTTTGTTCCATACAAGTTGTTTGCGGTGAGTGGGATAGTCAAAATGTATTGTCAATCTTGAACATATTTATAGGTTTTAAGGGTTGTTCTTTTTAAAGAATCTCCATTGAGGTGCTTCTTTATCACACAGTTGTATCCATCCAGAGAGTAGTGAGCAGGGCCTTAAAAGAAGTAAAATTTTTTTGCAGGTATTCAGTTGTTTCAACTTTCAAGGTATGGATATATGGTGAAAATAAATTTGAGTTTCTGTTAATGAGTGTGTACCATGGTGCACGCAACTGATTGTGTATGTGGCTGCTTTTCTGGTTATGAGTTATTTCATCTGAATAATTGAGAGTACGATATTTCCATGCAGGCTGATGGTGTTGATGCAGACTACAGTTTCATTGGTAAAGAGAATGGCAATGAGTACGAAAGTCAACTATCATCTGGAGCTTTCACTTCTGCGGCTTCCGCTGCTCTTAGTGGAGTGGCTGGTGATAATTTTGCCAAGGCTGATAATGGAAAGGATGCCGTTCCTTATGAGCATCCAGATGGTGTCCCTTGCATGGTTGAAACATTCCACAACCTTTGCGAATTCCTTCTCAAACATGAGGAAATGGGTGCCAGAGCAAATTCTATGTGCCAGAGCAAATTCTATGGCATTTGATGAAGATGACGGCCCTTTTGCTTTAGGTTTGATTAATTCAGCTATTGAACTGGGTGGCCTTCCAATCCACCGATACCCTCGATTGGTGAGCTTGGTACAGGATGCACATTCAGTAATCTGATGCATTTCAGTCTGTCGGTGAGTCCACTAATTCTTTCAATGGTCTACACTATTGTTCTGAGTTTTTACCAGCACCTGCCTATGGAACGCAAGTTACAGCTGGAGGCTTTCTTTGCCTGTGTGATACTGAGGCTCTCCCAAAGCCGTTGTGGGGCCTCATATCAGCAACAAGAGTTTGCCATGGAAGCTCTAGTTGATTTCTGTCGGCAAAAACTTTTATAGTGGAAATGTAAGCAAATCTAGATTGTGATATAACTTGCAGTAATGTATTCGAAGAGATTGCAAATCTACTCTCTAAGAGTGCATTCCCTGTGAATAGTCCTTTATCTTCAATGCACATTCTTGCCTTGGGTGGCCTTATTGCTGTAATTCAGGGTATGGCTGAGAGGGTGGGAAACGGATCACTTAGTTCAGAATATGGCTGAGAGGGTCGGAAACGGATCAGGTATAGTGGAGATGTACTCTCTAAGAGTGCATTCCCTGTGAATAGTCCTTTATCTTCAATGCACATTCTTGCCTTGGATGGCCTTATTGCAGTAATTCAGGGTATGGCTGAGAGGGTCGGAAACGGATCACTTAATTCAGAATATGGCCCAGTAAATCTTGAGGAATCTACTCCATTTTGGATGCTCAAGTGAGAAAATAGAATGAACCTGATAATTGGGTTCCCTTTGTCCAGAAGAGGAAATACATCAAGAGACTCTTGATTGGAGCTGTCCATTTCAACAGGGATCTGAAGAAAGGGTTAGCATATCTCCAGGGAACGCATATTTTGCCTGAAAAACTTGACCTCCAAAGTGTCGCTTGTTTTTTCAGGTATACTGCATGTTTGGATAAAAATCTTGTTGGGGATTTTCTTGGAAATCATGATGAGTTCTGTGTTCAGGTTCTTAACGAGTTTGCAAGAACATTTGATTTCCAAGATACGAAACTGGATACAGCATTGCGGCTATTCTTGGAGAGTTTTCAACTGCCTGGAGAATCTCAAAAGATCCAGAGGGTGCTCGAGGCATTTTTAGAAAGATATTATATGCATTGTTTCAGATTCCAGAGCATACCTTGATCATGACATGTTTGCTATAATGTCCTGTCCGACCATTGCCGCCATTTCTGTTGTCTTTGACTGCACAGAACATGAAGTTTACCAAACCTGTATTGATGGGATCTTAGCTGTTGCAAAAATTTCAGCATGTCATCATCTTGGATGTCTTGGATGATCTTATTGCGTCTCTCTGTAAGTTTAAAACATTGTTAAATACCTCATCAGTTGAGGAACTTGTTCTAGCATTTGGTGATGACATCAAGGCCCGGATGGCCACTGTCAAAGTTTTCACTATAGCTAACAGGTATGGAGTTATATCCGCACTGGATGGAGAAATATTTTGGGTTGTATCTTAAGGTTACATAAGCTTGGCCCTCTTCTGGCTCAGGTAGCTAGTGATGCAGCTGATGACTCAGATATATCTCCCGAACCTGGGACAGGGAAAGCCTCTCACTAATTCAGTATCTTCTGTTCAAAAGCAAGCTATAGGTACTCCTAGAAGATCCTTGGGGGTTAATGGGGCAATTCAGTCAGCTGCTATCATTGGATACAGAGAACCCCAGGTCTCAACCTACTAAATCACAACAAGGTCTCAACCTACTGAACAACAACTTGCTGCGCACCAGCGCATACTCCAGACGATTCAGAAATGTCATATTGATAGCATATTCAGTGAGAGGAAATTTCTTCTCGCCGAGTCGTTATTGCAGCTTGCACGTGCTCTTATTTAGGCTGCAGGCCGACCTCAGAAGGGTAACAGCTCTCCTGAAGATGAGGATACTGCTGTTTTTTGTTTGGAGTTGCTTAATGCAATTACACTTAATCGGGTCAGGATTGGACTTCTCTGGAAAGTTGTGTATGAACACATTGCTAGCATTGTACAGTCAACTGTAATGCCTTGTGCCCTAGTTGAGAAAGCTGTTTTCGGCCTCACTCCTTATTTGTCAGAGGCTCCTTTCTTACAAAGAGAACTTGGCTTATGAACTGTTGAGATCACTGCAACTAGTTCTTAAACTTGATGGCAGGGTTGCCAATGCATACTGTGAGGAGATTACTCAGGAAGTAAACGTCTGGTCAAAGCAAATGCTTCTCACATAGAAACACAAATGGGATGGCGAACTATAGCATCTTTACTTTCATTTACGGCCAGATGTCTACCTGGAAGCTTCGGAACCAGGGTTTGATGCCCTGTTATTTATTATGTCTGATGGAGCTCACTTGTCACCAGCTAATTATGTTCTTTGCATAGATCCAGCAAGAGAATTTGCAGAGTCTTTAGTTGGACAGGTCGAAAGATCTGTTTGTGCAGTAGACCTTATGGCTGGTTTAGTCACTTGTTTAGCCCGGTGGGATGAAGATGCTCAGGGATCTGCGATGGAGGTTACCCAGGAGATAGGAGAGATGTGGTTGAGGCTGACTCAGGCATTGAGGAAAGTTTGTTTGGACCAGCGAGCGGAATTCAGGAACCACGCGCTTTTATCACTGCAAATGTGCTTGACAGGAGAAGTGGAGGGAGTTGGAATCCCACATAATCTGTGGTTGCAGTGCTTTGATATGGTCATATTAATCTGTGGTTGCAGTGCTTTGATATGGTCATATTAACTATGCTTGATGACTTGATTGAGATAGCACAGGGCCATTCCCAGAACGATTACAGAAACATGGAAGGAACTCTTGTACTTGCCTTGAAGCTCCTGTCCAAGGTGTTTCTGCAACTACTTGTGGAGTTATCGCAGCTGACGACCTTCTGCAAACTCTGGCTTGGTGTTCTCAGTCGGATGGGAAAATATATGATGGCTAAAGTCAGTGGTAAAAAGAATGAGAGAAGCTGCAGGAATTAGTTCCACAGCTGCTTTGGAATAGAGAATTGCTCTTGAAGGGGATAGTCTGTGGGAGTTGACATGTACATAATAATCTTCCTTCTCTGGAATCTAATTTATTTCCGGATAAAGATTCTGAACCATCCAACCTGGATCAAGGTGACGGGGGCAAAACTTCTTCGTCAAATTAAACTGGTTCTGCTTTGGAATAGCAGCATCCTTTTTTCTAGAGTTCTTGTCTCTCTTTATCTTCTTTTGTAAGTATGCTTTGCAGGGTATTAAATTTTTTTTATTATTAAAATTTCAATTTTAAAGTTTTTCGAATATTTTAAATATTTTTTTAATGGAAAATTTTATATATTTAATATCAAAGTCAGTTTCTGCTAAAAGTTTTTCCGCTCCTGAATTGCGAATCATGGTTAATGGCATAGCAGATTTGACTCTCCCAAACCGCCCAAAAACATGAGGGATTTATTTTCCACAAAATCCAGCTTGATTGATTACAACTGGGCAAACTGACCAACCTTTTTGAATTTCCAGACTCACAGCCAATAATTAAATGGTCCTTTGGATTAGATGTACTTTTTTTTATAATACATGTATTATGATTAATTATTTATATTATTATACCGCATTTTAATGTATGCTAAGTTGTATACAGCCTGTATTTCATTCTTAATGACTTTAATCAGGTAGCAGTTTTGAAAACTAGACTTTAACCGACGAATATTAGTAATTACTTCCTGTGCTTCCAGAGGAAATAAAGAAATTGGTTGATCAGAGGTCAATCTCTCACAATCCGTATAAATCTTGACCCTATCGATTCTCAGAGTTGAGGCGTCCTGTAATGCAGTCAGACACGCCATAGCCTCCGCTTGAAGCGGTGTAAGGGCATTTAAGGAGATAGATTTGATCTGCATTAGCATTCCCGTATACGAAGTAATCTTCCAGGCACCTGCAGCTTTCCTGGTATGCAGGATTGAATGAAGCATCAAAAATGATTTCTGTGCTACAGTCTAAGATACCATAACCCTGTATGCATGTATGAGAAGTAGATGACTGTGAGTTTGCTTTCCTTATTAATGTCTTGTGCTGAGAGAGGTCCTGTTGTATCAATCGCCATGAGTTCACAGGATCTACAGCTTGGTTTCTCCTTACTTTATTATTTCTCTTAATCCAAATACACCAGAAAATTAAGAGGAATAAATCTAAATCATCAGAAGAAGGATGGGACTGTATCCAGTCGGAGAACCACTGTAAGATGGAATGTACTTGACCACCAAGGATGGACTGAAATTTGGGGTATGCAAAACTCCAAATTGTTTGAGAAATCGGGCATGTAAAGAATAGGTGAAGGTTATCCTCCAAACCTGTGAAACACCTTGGACATGTGGTATCCACTTGTAATCCCCTTCTGTTGAGTCCTTGTTTTGATGGTAATGCATTAACAACAGCCCTCCAAAATAGAAATTTATGCTTAGATTGTACCCTAGAGTATCAGAGCTTTTTCCAAGCCAGAGTTTCTACCTGTGAGATAGTCTGATTTGATTGAGCAAGAATAGAGATTGAAGGAGTAGAATTCAGGGCTTCATGATAACCAGTTTGCATAGTATATGCACCATGATCAGTTTTGCGCCATATCAATACATCTTTCTGCGATCTCCTTTTAGGATCCACATAGATACCCGTTATGTAGGGGATATATTGATTAGGAAATATAGTGTGCAGGAGTGGAAGTTTCCACTGTCCATCCGGGTGGATCAGATCACTAACCATGAGGTTGGACTATTGAGCTAAGAAGGAAGTACAGTGGATTGGATTAGTGTGTCCTAGAATCCAGTTACCTGCAATCGGAATATCTCTACCGGAGATGACCTTCCATTTGGTATTGTGTTGGAGAAATCTAGTTCCCCAGAGTACACTTTTATATCCCGAGGTGACATTAGAGGGAGGGGATAGCTGTGGAAAGTTATCCATAGTACAATATTTAGCTCTATAGACTCTTGACAGTACAGAACCTACCTGAGATAAGATTTTCCATGCATGCTTGGCTAGAAGAGCTTGATCAAACTCAGCAGTAGCTTTTAAACCTAAACCACCATGGAACTGTGATTTGATTATCTTCTTCTATGATCTCCGGTGCACCCTTTTGTTTTGGTTATCCCCTTTCCAGATAAATCTATCAATAATCCCATCTGCCTTTTTTAAGGTAGACATTGGCAATTTAAAGACTCCATTAGGTATACCAACATTGCTGAAAGCCTTAGCCAAAGTGACCTTTCCAGCAAAACTGAGAAGCTTAGTTTTCCAGTCTGCAAACTTCCTAGTTAGTCTGGCTGGGAACTCCTTGAAAATCTCTTTTTTCTTATAAGTGAAATCCAGAGATAAACCCAAATATTTACTCTGGAAAATCCCTTCCAGGATGTGTAAAGTGGTATGGAGTACTTCTTTCATACTAGCTGAAGTATTTGGACTGAGGAAAATGGACGATTTCTGATGATTAATTCGTTGTCCTGAAAATGCTGTATAATCTTCTATCAAACCGGACAGAGCTTGGATTGAAGTGTCTTTGCATTCAATGAAAAACAAGCTATCATCTGCATACATTAGATGACTTAGCCTGGAAACAATCCTACTAATTTTGATGCCAAGATCCGCAAACTGGTGTAACGCTTCTCTGATTGCTAAAGATAAAGCTTGTTGGCATAAAATGAATAAGTAAAGGGATAAGGGACACCTTTGTCTAAGACCTTTAGTAGGAGCAAAGAAAGGAAGATTCTCTCCATTGAACTGTATGGAGTATGTAACAGTTGTTACACAATGCATGATCAGATTGATGACTTAGAGGGAGTCCAACTTCTGTGAGCACTACTTTCAGAAATGTCCAAGAGACTCTATCATATGCCTTGCTCATGTCTAGCTTGATAGCAGCTACTTCCAGTTCACCATCCTTCTTCTTGATGTATTCAATGACTTCATGCACAAGCAGAATATTTTCACTGATGTTCCTCCCTGGCACAAATCCATTCTGATGCCCATCTATTAAATCAGACATCATCCCCTTTAGTCTGTTTGCATTCATCTTAGTAAGAATTTCGTACTTCAAATTACAAAGACTAATTGGCCGAAAGTCCCCTGGACCAATGGGGGTAGGGATTTTTGGAATAAGAACAATATTCATCTGTTTACATTCCTTAGGAAATGCCTGCTGTTGAACTGCCTCCAATATAGTTTATTCTAGGTCAGAACCAATAATCTACTTGTAGGATTTATAAAAGCATGCAGGCATACCATTCGGACTTGTGACTTCCATGAGGACATCTGTTTAAGGGCATTCCATACTTCTGAAGCAGAGAATGGTTGATTCAATTCACTTGTCTGTGCTGGAGTGAGACATTCCCCCAAATGGTCCAAGAATGGCTGAAAAAAAAGGTGAGGAAGTTGAATGTGATTGTGATTGTGATTGGGACTGGATTTGATATAAGTGAGTTGGAGTTGCAGTGCTTGTACTGGCATGAGCTGAAGAGGCTACAAGAGGAGAGTTAGTAACACCATAAAGATCCTTAAAATGGTTCATAATTAATGATGAAATTTGATCAGATTCATGTAACTACTGTCCATTTGGTGCCTGGAGTTCTGTACATTTATTTCCCTTCTTCCTGGTTGTCCATTTATAGAAGAACTTTGAATTCTTATCACATTGTAGAGGCCATATCAGTCTTGATCTTTGGAGCCAATAGTCCTGTTGCAGCTGTAATGTATGCTCTAGCTCTTCCCGTTTTTGAGTTAGAGCTTGGAAAACTGTTTCATCATCTGTATTACTCTCCCATTGGGACTGTAGATGTCAGTTGATCAGATAACTTTGAAACTAATTTATCCAAATTACCAAAATTTTCTTTACTCCAATTGTGCAGATCAATAAGGCTAGACTTTAGTCTATAGGATAGCTTCTCTTGCTGGTTTGTAATCTGTAAATGGTCATGCGGCCATGTAGATTGCACCAATACCTTAGACTGAGGACAACTGGTCCAGAATTGTTCAAATCTTAGTCTTGGCCTTGTTTTCTGTGTCTTATCTTTAATCTGAACCAATATTGGCGCATGATCAGAGACCAGGATGGGAAGGTTTCTGATAGTAGCTTTGGGGAAAGCTGAAAACCATTGCTTGTTGACAAATGCCCGATCCAATCATTCATAGATGGCTTCTTCATTGGTCCTTTTGTTAGTCCAAGTGTACCAGCAGCCAATATGTCTAAGCTCGTCTATATCATTTTGTGACAGAAAGTGCCTAATTGGACCTGTATTTTTATCCCTCACTAGTCTACGACCACTTTTGTCTTCCTGTGACACTACCTGATTAAAATCACCTCATAAAACAGTTGGATAATTTAAAGGACTTAGATTGACATTCAGCTGTAACCCAAATTCAGTATGGCCTTGCCTACAAGGAAGGCCATACAAAAAAACTGCAAGCCAACTAAGACCTGAGGGTTCCCACACCCTAGCTACTATTACATTCTGGTTATGCATCAGTAAATCTAGCTGAATATCAGTCATCCAAAACAAAGCCAAGCCACCAGAAGACCCTACAGAATCTATTACAAAAGAGCGCCTGAAAGGTGTAGTTTGCTGTCATTTTAACATAGTACTACTTGCAGCCTTAGTTTCCATTAAAAATAAAATCTTAGATTTATAATGCTTATATAACCTACCTAAGCTGTACTGAGTAGAGGCATTGTTGACACCTCTACGATTCCAAGAGAGTATATTCATTGTGGTAAATGCAGTTGATCTGGTTCAACCACCGCAAGACACTGTAGCTTAGCTCCCTCTGCCTCTCTTGGACCTCCATGCACATCTATAGGCTCGCCTTTAAACTTCTTGTTACTCTGTGGGACTTCCTCAGACAGTTCCAGTGGCCTCTTGTTTGTTCTCATCACAACAGCTTCAATAAACATGAAATTGTCTTAGACAATCATTCTCCATGGACCCCTCTGCGACATTGTCTCCCTTGAATCAGTGGTGACAGCATCAAGCTGGGGTGGAGAAGAACTATGATTCCTAAACCTGTTTCTGGAATGTGGTTTGTGGGACTTCCTCCTTGGCTTCTGTTTTTTCTTTGACTTCTTGATTGGGACTGGCTCCACTTCAGAATCTGAAACCACCTTCCTAACCTTCATCCTACAAGAATTCACATTCTCTTGTGAATCTGTGTCACTTTCATACTCTAGTGTCGGAGATGATATCGTCCATCCTCCCTTGCATTTGGCAGACCAGGGCATCTCTTAATTGATGTGGGAGGCATTGGATGAAAACACCTCTGTTTCTGAATCAGTTGGTGTCTCCATTGTACATTCTTCTGAGGCTGAGTAATACATCAAAGACCTTAAAAAGGAGCTAGACCCTGAGGATTGAGACTTCACTTCTTCCTCTAGACTAATTACGGACTCAGAATTTTCCTCCTCCTCATTTAAACCTATTACAGACTCTGGATCTGACAGAAGTACATCAAAAAATAGAGTTTGGGGAGACAGGTCTATTCCTTACTAATGGGGAACCCGATACATCAGGATCAATAAAAGCAGGAACAAAGTTAGAATTATTCAAAGCATTTTCTGACTTAAAGGACTTCGACATTTTCGTGTCCGACGAAAGAAACAGAACATCATCATGATCATGGGTAAGTGAATCATTCTCAGGAATAGAGTGAAACGAACCTGATGAATTGGTATCAGAATGCTTTGGAAACACCTTCTTGAGCCGCATGGGCTGCTCTTCTAGATGTGTCAAGTGAACCATTCATCAGAAGCTCACCATAGTCCAGGCGAATTGGGTTCATAGGATCGAATCCATGCCCACGTCGGTCATTCCTGTGAGATGCTTCAGGATGATGGCCATCATGATTCTGGTGGTCTCCTTGATCATCATCACCACCATTATCATGATTATTGCCATGGTGATCATCTGGTGTATCCTCCTCCTCATCATCATTATGATTATTATCATCATCTGGTTGTCATCCTCATCATTGTCATCATCTTCTGGAAACATTGCTGGCTACATGGCATCTGGCAGGGGTACCTCTAGCTTTGTGATCTGAAAACTATCCCGAATAAAGTGATTAGGGACATTCTCATAAAAGTTATACATTTTAAGATATTTAGTCTCCATAATTCTAGAAGTTCTGTGTTGTTTGTGACCATGTGCCCTCATAGAGCTGGAAAATAGAGGTCTTTGGGCATCAATCAGCATCGGAGAGTTATTCTTTATAGCTCTCTGCATGAAATGGTTATCTAGAAAGGCATTGAGTGTTGCATCATCAACCATTAGACATCGCTGCGCTGGATGTCCAAGCTCACCACATCAAGAACAAAATTTATGCACACATTCATACTTACATCGAATCTTACCCAAGTTACCATTCCTTTTTGTCTAGTGAAAGGTTGTGTGAGAGGATCTTCTGGATTGATCCAGACCTTGACTTGGATATAAGTAGCTTTACGAAAGTTAACATAGTCTTCTTTTATAATCACTATATCCCCCAGGTTCTGAGCTAGATCTCGAGCACCTCTGTAATTATAGGAAGTGATATCAGCACCATGCATGCAGACCCAGACACTCATCCTCTCAATCTGAATGCTATCCAGTGCCAGATCTTCATGATCATACATACGACGGAGGATCAGGAGGCCCCCATCGATTGCATATGGACCATTATCTAAAGCCAAGAGGAGATCAGCCTGGGAAGCAAATTTAATAATGAAGAAATTGCGATCATAGTACAAGATCTTGGTGTACATGGGCCAATTATCCACCATATATGCTTGCATGTCAACATCTATGAATGGCCTGTCATCTAAGAAATAACCCAGTAGTGAGATTTTGAAGTTCTCTCTGGAAAGGCTGGTGTTATAGTCATTGAGAGGAACTCTGAGGGAACGCTCATAAGAAGTATTCACAAACTGTGGATGCGTTTCTGTGGCTGGATTGAAATCGTGCTCCTCTTCAGAGAACTCAGAGCCTTGAACAGACATATCAGTCACCAAGTCAGCATCCATTGCATGACGATGACGATAACTCATTTTGCATAGTTTTAAAGAAGTTAGAATCAGTATGGGACCAAAGTAGTAAATAAAAAAATTACAGATCTGACTAAAAAGTTTTAAGGAAGATCCGCGTTGAAGAAGGTGGAGTTATAAGAGGGCAGTTAATAAAATAGAGTTGGAATATGGACAGACTAGAGATCTGATTCTAAAAGGCAAAAGGTGGGAGACTTTTTAGCAAAATAGATTCTTGAAAATGAAAGTAAAGGCATTGAGACCAACATTAAGTCTTGGGATAGCAAACAAACAAAAGGAGAGAATAAAGGAGAGTTCCTTTTTGGCGGAATTTAAACTGATAACTAGGAGCAATTATTACATCTAATAAAGGCTTGAAGAAGGGGAAAAGATTTGAAGCCCCCAAAAGTGATGCATCGACTGCATGTGGACCATTTGGCAATGCATTTCAGGAAGAATTCGCCAAATAATCATCCACTTTCTGGGGGATTAGCTGACGTAAATAAACAGCCAAAATGATTTTAGTAAAACTAGTGATTTTTGGATATGAGTGTGGTTAGTGGTATTGGAAAGAACAAGGATGATGATTGAGTCTGAATGGTTTAGTGGTTTTGGGAAAAAAAAAAAAAAAAAAAAGGTCCTTCTCACTTGGAGAAAGAGAGGACTTTCTCTCTCTTTGGTTTTAGAGAGGGAAGTGGTTTTTGTTCTATGGATTAGATGTACTCATTTGTCTTGAAATGATTGTCCCGATTGAATTTTTATATTTTTCTGTATATATTTTGTGAGATGATTAAATAGCTAGTTGCATATGTGGTCAAAATTGTGACTGATTAATTTCTCAACCATACAATTTTTTGAGGCAGTCATTTAAGAATTCGCATGTTGGAGATCTTTCCTATCTCCAATCTGATAATTATTGGAAGTGAAAGAAAAAAATATAAAAACTTGTATTTATCATAAAAGGGTAAAACTGTTCACAGAAATTATATTTAATGAAATAAGGAAATTTTACGCTTTTAATAAGAATTTCAAATGTTCTGCGCCTTAATCAAGAATTATGTAAGAATGTTCTCATGTTTTTTAGATAGGTGGAGAAAACCTTTGCTACTACAGTTAGTGTTCTTAGAATTTGATTTTTTTTTTAAAAAAAAAAATGTAAGCAAAGCTTAAAGAATCCGAAACAGAGCTGAAAAAGGAATAATAGAATTCTGCATTACATAGCTGAAACAAAATAAAGCTAAAATCAATCTAATCCAGTTAATTTGCTAATTCAACAAAGACATATAATCACAAATTAAGGTCAATTACAGCTAAACCATAGAGATACACGCACTTCCCCAGTGAAACTGAAGTTGGTTGGAAAGAAGGACCATCGATTATCACATGCCATAACCATTTGTTCAAATAACTGAACCATTTTTTTTCTAAAGTAATAAAAATGACAGAAAGCAAGAACAAAAGTGACAGCTACATTCAACTTTTTGTGTGTGGTCTTATTTTCCTACGTCTATTTCAAAATAAAATTATTATTTATTGAAATTTCACGTATAGCCAAACATTAGTCTTAATTGACTACAATTCAGAATAATACCCTTTTTATCTAAAAAATATATATATATTTTATCATAGTGTTTTAGTTCAAGAAATTGACGGTTTTATTTGTGAGCGGAGGGAGTATTATTTAAGGCTCAAACGTATAGCTATTTCCTCAAACAAGTTTATCTAGACCCCTGCATCTTGAATACATATTGATTGAAGAAGATGGCAAGCGATTCTTCTGCTGCTTCTTCCAGTTTCAAAAGGTATGACTAGCATAGCTATTTGTTTGATGTCCAATAATATTAATTAATTAATTATTTTGAAAAAAAAAAAAAAAATCTAACCAATTTGGCTAAATAATGTTGTTGTAGGCTGGAAGGTAAAGTGGCAATCATAACCGGTGGAGCAAGCGGAATCGGAGAATTCACGGCCAAACTTTTCGCCAAACACGGTGCAAAAGTCGTCATAGCCGACATCCAAGACGACCGTGGTCAATCCATTTGCGAGAAAACTGATGCCGTCGCGATATCCTACGTCCACTGCGACGTAACGAAAGAATCCGACGTGAAAAACGTAGTTGACGTGACGGTTTCAAAGTACGGGAAGCTAGACATAATGTTTAGCAACGCCGGGATTTCGGGGGATTTTTCCGACAAGTTGATCGCCGATGCTGAACTCGAAAACGTTCAAAGGGTTATCGATGTGAATCTTGTAGGTGCCATTTTTTGCGCTAAACACGCGGCGCGAGTTATGATCCCGATGAAAATGGGTAGTATTATTTTCACTTCTAGCGCAATTTCGGTGTGTCAAGTTGTTGTTTCTCATACATATGCAGCAACAAAGCATGCGGTTGTGGGATTGACTAAGAATTTGTGTGTGGAGTTAGGGGAACATGGGATTAGAGTGAATTGTGTTTCTCCATTTTCTGTGGCAACCCCTTTGACTATGGCAGGTGCTCAAGTAATGTTGCCTGGTTGGGACAAGAATAAGATGGAGGAATTTGTTAGCCAAGTAGGGAATTTGAAGGGTGTGAGATTGGAAGAGGATGATATTGCCAATGCAGCTCTGTATCTAGCAAGTGATGAATCTAAGTATGTGAGTGGGTTGAATCTTGTGGTTGATGGTGGATATAGCACTACTAATGTTGCTATGTTGGAAGGCTTCAAGAAACTCATTTCTTGAAATTAATCATAAATTTCTCCTCTTTCATAAGAATTCTGTGGGAAGAAAATTTTGCTACGAATTTATGGCATCATTGATTAATTAGCTTCTTCCGTTCTTTAGCTCCTTTGAATGTGAAGATTTTAGATGACACGCCAATGTGATTATGCATTTTGATTGTGTTTGGTTTCGTCATGACCGCAATATAACTTTGTATTCTTAATCATTGAGAAATAAGAAAAAAGATCTTTGTATTTTATTTCATTATTTGTGGTGAATATGTTATTCTAGATTTTTCAACATTTGAGTGATGAAATTCTGCAACTAGTCTCATTCCACCAAACGCATTTTTACTCATCATCATTCCAATTGGAAAATTATGTTAGCTATGAAACCATTGTTATTATTATTGATGTGTTTTATTTAGTTCAACTACGGAAAATTTTCCTATGACCTTTTCGCATTTTTCACCTACATAAAAGAACCATACTTTTCTTCGATCTTGTATAACTTTGATGTTACTTGGAAAATGGGTCAACAGTACATGAAGGTGTCGGTGAGAATGTATACCTTACGTTTATTAATTTGTCAAAAACTTTCAGATTTTGCCTTCTATTGTAGCGAAGTCCTTATACTAAAAAATTTTGTCTTTTTATGATACGTTTAGATATACCACACGTATCAATATTTTGTGAAATTTGTGAACAAAAGAAATTATAAATAAACTTTGCCTCCCATTGTAGTGAAGTCTCTAAACACAGATTGCTCAATTAACCACCCAGTAGTATTCACTTTCATAGATGAAAATAGTTAAATTCTAATGCTTTCGCACTGAAGGACATTTGACATGGACGTGGGCTTTCTCCAGAGTCATACATTTTTTTCATCCCATTTTAGTAATTTATATATTTTATTATGTTTCTTTCGTCCCCAAATCATTATTCAGTTTGAATTTTCATATTTAGTATAAATTAAACTAAAAATGAAAATCTAAACTAAATAATAATTTTCTAACATAAAGAGTAATACTTTTGGTCACATGAACTCTAAATTGGTCAAGATTATAGAGCAAACGAGATGTTGGACTTGGTCGTTTGAGAAAAAAGAGCTGTTTAAGGTACAAACAATGCTTCCCCACCTTTTTGAATAACTCTCCAACAAAAACAAAATCCATAAACAAGCCTACTACTCTTTACTTTACGGGGAATAATTAATATTCTTGTTAATATAATTCGTGATCCATAATTACGAAAAAAATCAATAAGCAGAGCGTGCTTGAGGGATTTATTTGGGGATGATGGAGCTATGGGTCGGGGTTAGTCTTACAATTTGCAACAAGTTTATTGGGACTTAGGAGATAAAAACAATATGAATTATTTTCTTTTGTGACGGAGTGAATAGTATTTATTTTGAGATCGATGAAGGGAGTAGTAATTATTTTTCATGTTTAGAAAAAAAATTACTGTTATTTTCTAAGTGGGAGATTATAATAAATTTTCTAAAGTAAATTAATCCACATTCATTATAAATCGCAAAACTCAACGTGAATTATTTTTTTTGAAGGTGGGAATAGTATTTATCCTATAAATGAAGTCACTAGTAATTATTTTCTGTTAACAAAATACTTTTATTTTGTAAGTGGGAGAATAAAATAACTTCTCTAATGGCGGTCGACCGTCCCATGTCTTTACTTTTAAATTAATAATTAAATCGAAAGTCAAGCAAAATGTATTTCTTGCAAGCAAAATCATGAATGACATCATCTTAAAACTGGGGGAACCCTCTTTGAAGCTGCCTATTTAATTTTGCTTGACCGAGCTAGGCACTGCCAACCCCACACGTTTATTTATTTTTTTGATAAGAAAAGTCTACCCTTATTGGTATTGCCCCCAGTTCCCACGCCCCCCAAACCCAAACAGGCCTTTTCTTCTACTATATGTAATCAAAAGAACATTATCATTTACAAATTTTAAAAAAAAAGGAAAAAAAAAACTTATTCGTCATTAATCTCCTCTCCTGTCCCAACCCTCCCAAATCATCATCATCTATATTTGTTCATGATATTTCATTCTTCTTTCTAGGTTTTAGGCTTGCAGATAGATTAACAATTAGAACCTATATCCCGTTATGGACAAAGAACAAGAAGAAGTTCAATATCTAGGATTCTTTGGCATATTCAAAGAATCATTCAATATTGTCCCAGCTTGGAGATCAATTTTCAGCCAAATTTCATTGGTTTTGATCTTCCCTCTATCCTTCATCTACCTAGCCCACATCCAAATCTCTCAATACCTTTTCTCAAACATTGTTGCTGATGAATACATCCTGGATAGAGTCCCCGAAGGGACTCCCACCTATAATTCCATTTCCGATGTCCTCTCCTCGGAATGGACCACATTCTTGTTGTTCAAAATCGGTTACTTTGTGTTCTTCATCGTCTTAACCCTTCTTTCCACGTCGGCCGTGGTCTACACGATTGCATGCATTTACACGGCCAAAGATATAACGTTCAGAAAAGTCATGAGCGTGGTTCCAAAAGTTTGGAAACGGCTCATGTCCACGTTTTTATGGAATTTCATCATCGTTTTCGCCTACAACCTCGTGGCCATATTGGTTCTCGCGATTTTCGTCCTCATAATTCCACAAGGGGTGTTTTTGGTCCTCGTTGTTATGATTATTCTGATGGTGTATTTAGCTGGATTTGTGTACATAAGCGTCATTTGGCATCTCGCAAGTGTGGTTTCGGTTTTGGAAGAGAGGTATGGCCTAAATGCGATGATCAAGAGCCATGATTTGATCAAGGGCAAAATGGGAATTTCGACCGCGATGTTCGTGATTTTCGGCTTGTGTTTCTTTGGGATTCAAATCGGGTTTCAATGGTTTGTTGTTCTTGGAAATGGAGGTGGGCTTTTCTGGAGATTTGGGTATGGAGTTCTGTGCCTTACACTGCTTTCCATGTTGATCCTGTTTGGTCTGATTATTGAGACAATTATCTACTTCATCTGCAAATCTTACCACCATGAGAACATTGACAAGTCTTCGTTGTCGGATCATCTTGAAGTTTACCTTGGAGAATATGTACCTTTGAAGTCAAAGGATGTACAATTAGAGCATTTTGAGGTGTGATTATTGTACGGAAGCTATATAGGTATATACAAATTTGTTCGTTAATTAAGTCGTATGATTAGGGGTTTAGGATGTTATATCATCATCAATGTAGTTTTGTACTAAATCAAATTACATGGGAATGTGACAAGGGGTACATGATACATGAATCCCTCTTTATTTGGTTAATTACCAGGAGAAAGGTAATTACATTGTATCATGATGCTAAAAGAACATGCATTTTTTTTCTTTTTATCATGAGATATATAATTTTACGAAGCTGTTATTGAAATAATGAAAAAACCTGGACTTCTAGCTTTTAACTTTACAACAACTAATATCTACAAATATTATTTTGGCATTGATCTATTTTTTATTTTCTTTTTCTGAAATAAATTCGAACTTGTTCTCCTAATTACTATAAACTACTAATATTGTATTAAGTTTTATTGGTGAGATTACGAACCTCAATCCTTGAGTTTGGCACCAAAATTCATACCACTTAAATAGTTAAATTATTCGCCTTTAGCTACAATAAAATATCTAAACTAGACAAGTCCATAGCAAACATTATTATCTCCCCCAGTCGATGTCGTTGACTTTCCGAGTCTTGGTTTGCTGTTATTCGACGACTTCAGGATATCAACAAAGCGTGTTGAATGACACGTACATTGAAACATTTATAATTCAAGTCAAGATTCAAAAAGCCCATTTGATCTTCTGGAAGATGAAAGCGATACACCAATTTGTAGGTTCTGTTAAATTGTGGAAATTGCAAACCAAAAACGCGCCCCAGTCCCCATAGTCAGATTTTTATTTTATTATGTTGAACTCATTGATGCACCTAAACGTAAAATTAATTTACTGTTAAATTAAAAGAATGCTTATCCGTCCCGAATTAGTGCAGTTTAGATTTTTAATTTTAACACAAATTAAAAGTAAAAATCTGAATTGAACAATAATTTTTAGACAGAGAAAGTAAGATAAAGTGAAATTATTTTTCTTCAAACAAAAAGAATATTCCCTCCATTTTTTTATATGTATTTCTAGAAAAATCATCAAAACCAAGAAAACATTAAGTATTGTAGTTATAATACAAAAATACCCTTATTTATTGTCGATACAATTCATCACAAACTAATAGAAATTCATTATAAATATTGGTAAAAAGTGATCAAATATGTATCGATTTGTCAAAATAACATATATTTAAAAAAAAATCACCAAATCTTAAAACGACATATATTTCAAAATGGAAGAAGTAAATTACCATCTAAACAAATGTAGTCGACAACTATTTAATTACGCTTGTAATGAAATACAATTTATTTTTTAGATGTCTTTTGTCTATAGAACGTCGTAATTTATGTTTTTTAATTCTTTGATTGTCCCGAAAAAAACTGAAACACCATTCTAGATGGCAATCAGTACAAGTTTCTCTTCCCCTCCCATTTTTAATAATCTGCTGTCATTTGTAATAGTAGTTATTAGTCACAATTAACTAGCAGATTAAAGAAACATTTTTAATTTGGATAATTAGTCCATCAGGTAAGAAGATGAAACAAGTTTTTGAGATTTTTGGCAGGGCATGGTTCAGTATATATGCAACAACATATTCATTATATTTCCAACTCGGTTGGAGTCTGGGGGATCAAAATACACGCAGCCTTACCCCTATATTTCAATACAGAGAGACTGGTTAAGTAGTATGACCTAAGATACATTGGTGCATTGATATATTGATTTCCGATAATTTCACCAAATTAAGAAGTATCAGAATTTAAATGAGCCATTTTGATCTAATCTATTATTAACACAAGTTGAAAGAATTGTCAATAATAATTCTTACAGCTCCATTTGCAATGGATAAATAGTTCAGTATTATATAGTTAGATTATTTTAGTTGTGCAGCTTTTAACTTATCGTGTAGACTATATTTTTTGATTTATTTATTGAAGTAATTCGTGATCGTACCATATATACAAGGGGCGAAACACACACTATGACATTTATCAACGTATAACTACATACTTCCGTCTTTCATTATTAAACTCTCTCTGTCTAAAAATTATTGTTCAATTTAATAATAAAAATAAAATTTTAAACTAGACAATAATTTTGAAACTGAGAAAATATAATATTTATGCGATATTTAAATAAAATTCAAATATGAACAATCACTTTGGAAAGGAGAATATTGTCATTTTGTAACTTTTGTTACAAGTAATGGACGATTTCCTAATTTCATGATCGGCTATTTCGATTTTTTTAACACAATAAAAGAGGCAATTATTGAATTAATTAACTATGATACTATGTGGTTGAGCAACACCGACTAAATCGTGTTTCAATTATGATTTGATTCCTCATTGTGATCTAGAAAAATATATAAACTTGACAACCAGGAAGCCGTCAATAAAACAAAATAATTTGCTACGAAGTTTGCCTTTCGATGATTATGGCAAAATTCCACCACCCGACTTCAACTTCAACTTAATAAATCCTTGATCCCCATAAATCAAACATCTGTTACAATTTACACTAGTTTCTTTCGTCTTCACCATCTTTACCACACTGCCATTTATCCACATTGGCTATTTTGATATTGATAAACTCAAATTTACTTGAGTTGGATCACTACGTGAAATTCAGAAAGTAGAATGTACTAGAACTTCTTGAATATCAGAATTGACAAGCAGAAGCAAAAATCATCAAGAATTCAGTAAGAATTATGGTTTGTAAAGTAAGCTGAAATTGTGAAGTGGGAACTAATTTCTTCTGTATTAACTTTGTCTAATTGGATATATGTACTCCCGACACATTAAATACATATACAGCTCCCTTAACCAACTAAACTACCAAATCTAATTATTTACATATTTGCCCTGCTACTTAATAAATGTACAAAATAACCCATGTATTATATACAAGTTATGCATAATCAATTATGACTCTATGTACAAATGATCAACCGGGATCCTCTTCTGATTCATCCGGGATCTTCTTCTGATTCTCCGATTCATCTAGATCTCCCACAAAGAGCGGATGAGCAAGAGACTTGGTAAATACATCTGCGAGCTGAAGTTGAGAATGAAGACGCAAAGGCCAAGAAAACCTTTGTCAATTATGACTCTATGTACAAATGATCAACCAAGATCCTCTTCTGATTCATCCGGGATCCTCTTCTGATTCTTCGATTCATCTAGATCTCCCACAAAGAGCGGATGAGCAAGAGACTTGGTAAATACATCTGCGAGCTGAAGTTGAGAATGAAGATGCAAAGGCCAAGAAAACCTTTGGTGTACTGCAATCGAACAAAATGACAATCAAGTTCAAGATGCTTGGTTTTTTCATGAAACACGAGATTCTCAGTAATGTAAATTGCTGATTGGTTGTCACACCAGAGGAAAATAGGAAGTTCAAGAGGCGATCCAAAATTATGCATCAGGTAAGAGATCCAAAGTAGTTATCTGCTAGTGTAACTCATGCTGCGGTACTCAGCCTCTGCACTGGAACAGGAGAGAGTTGGTTGTTGTTTAGCCTTCCGAGAAATGAGTGAAGCACCAAGAGAAATGCAGAAGCCAGTAACAGACTTCTATGAATGGGATTGGAAGCCCAATCTGCATCGCTGAAAGCTTCAAGCTTGAAAGTGTTGTCACAGAAGTAGAATAGGCCTTGGGATGCAGTTCATTTGAGATATTTAAGAACATGAAAGAGAGCTATCCAATGATCTTGAGAAGGATGAGAGACATGGCAACTTAACTGTTGACAACAAAAGAACTATCCAGTCTGGTGAAATTCAGATAGAGTGATTGGCCAACCAGTTTTCTATAAGAGGAAGCATATGCCAATGGAAGCCTGGTTCATCAGTGAGTTGATGACCTTTTGGAAGAGGAGAACCCAACACTTTGAAAAATGTCTGGAGTATACTTCTTCTGAGTCAAATGCATACCTTCTGAATTCCTAGAAATCTCAATGCCGAGGAAATACTTAGCATCACCAAGATCTTTGATAGTAAATTGCTGATGCAGGAAAGACTTCACTTATTACAACACAGTTTTATTGGAGCCTGTGAGGAGAATATCATCAACATAAATAACTAGAGTTGTGACTAGCCATTGATCTTCCCTATAAACAAACAAGGATCATTAGAAGATTGTGCTAATCCTAAAGTGGTAATCTAATGAGTGAACTCCAAGTTCCACTGTCTTGAAACCTGTTTCAACCCATACAAAGACTTTTGCAACTTGCAAAATTTATTAGTAGGACCTGAAACGTAACCAGCTGGAGGAACCATATACACTTCTTCGTCTAAATTCCCATGTAAGAAAGAATTCTGTCTAATTGATGCAGATTCCAGTGTGAAGCAGCAGCTATAGCCAATAGAAGTCTAATTGTAACCACTTTTGCAATAGGAGAGAAGGTACCATAGTAATCCTCTCCCTCAACTTCATTATCTCCCTTTGCAACTAATCGTGCTTTATATCTATCCACAGTCCCATCAGGATGATACTTGACCTTAAACACCCATTCATTGCCTATAGCTCTCTTTTCCGTTGGAAGATTAGTCATCACCCAAGTCTTATTATATTCTAAAGCATTAAGCACAGCTTCCATTGCAGCAACCCATACTGGATCTTGACAAGGTTGAGCATAGGTCTTAGGTTCTACAATTTTTTCATGATAAGCTAAAAATGCAAGATGCTTATCAGGAAAATGGACTGAAGAAATAGGTTGGAAATATGGTAAATGATGATCTGTAACTGAAGTTGTGTTGTTAACTAAACAAGCTTTGTAGGTAATGAAACCATTGAATTTAGAAGGAGCTTTTGAGATTCTAGAACTTCTTCTCAAGAAGGGTGGATTAATGACTTCGGACTGTCTAGCAAGTAGTGTTGTATCATGAGCATAATGATTTTAAGTAGGAGTAAGAGGAGTTGGAGTATCATGGAGTGATGGTGAAGAAACATGATCAGACATAAGTCAAGAGTTAGGTTGATAAACTGAGGGGTATAAATCAAACAAGTCATCAAAAACAGGAAAGAGTGTATTGATGGTTTCTTGTTGTGAGATAGGTTCTGTTTAAGTAAGATTGGGAAATGTGGTTTCATGAAAACTACATCTCTGGAAATTATGGTTTTGTGTGACTCTAGATCATAGAGTTTTTATAAGTTTTATGGCCTACTGGATAGGAATAAAAATAGTTCTAATGGCTCTAGGTGAAACCTTATCTTTATAAGGTAAGACACACTACAAGAAAAATGGAATAAAAAGGCATTTTTTAGTGTCTTAATAGATAGTGTATAGTGACATTAAACTTTTTAAGGCATTGATTGATAGTGTGGTATATACCCATGTCACTATAGCTTAAATGAACTATTAAAGCAATTGTAAGTGTCGTGAAAACTAATCTCCTATTTTACTATCGAGTAACTTTTTTACTGTAAAAA